GAGGGTAGACAGTAATGAGGTAGGAAACAGTTGTGCTGGGTTGATATCTAATTGCCATAGATGTACGAGAGCCCAATAAGGAAAAAAGCATGAGCCATGGATTTTCAAGATAGTGCAGTACATTTCAGACTGTGCAACCAGATTAACTTCATTATATTGTACATGTCCATATTAACTTTTCAAGTCACAATAACAAGTCTGCTGATATAGCTCCACTAATACTGTACACATTGTAGTTAGACAGTTGAAAATAGCACTTTTTTACCAAAAATTATTCACTAAAATTAAAAAATAAAACTTATCATCATGAAATTAATAAATCTGACTTCACTCAAAGTGTCTACATACGGTACAAAATATTGAATTCAAGACATTTTCATAAAGAAGTCAAAAATAGCTATTTTTACTAAAAAACGACAAAAATATTAAAAACTAGAGAATAGAAGGCATTGTCACAAATAGTCATCAAAATTAGAGATTTAAAAAATCTGAGAAAGGTCCACCGAAAGTACATATAGACCATTACAGTTGTTTATGCTTTGTGCTTGTATGCAGTAACTCGTTGGCAAGAATAAGTCGTTCGTACCAAAACATAAAATAACGGCATTATTTGTTGTTATGGTTATAAAATATACATGTAGGTATCTTCTCTTAATCTTGTTAATAAAACATCTTACAGGCAATGTTGTCAAAGCAGATCACATTTGTTAACTGAAAATTGTATGCTGGTTGGAAAAAACAGCTCTGCTCTGTCATTTTCCATAAAAGCAGAGCTAAAAACAGGATTTCTTATCAGTTTTGTATTATTCTTAGCATTTTAAATTCTATGGTTGGACAATATAGAAGAAAATATTCTTACAAGTTGCACAGGTTAATCCAGTGTAGCATCCAACACATTGACACGAATATGATATACAGGATCCTGGTAAAGCAGTGCAAGTACCACCATTCAAACATGGAAAGTTTTGACATGGATCGGAAACTAGAAGTAAAAATATACAGTTACTCAAGCATACATATTACTAAGGCTCTTTAATATTCTTTAAACGTCTCAAAATTGGGCTCCAAATGATGGAATAAAATGGCACTATGAGCCGGCACATTTCCTCACAAAGTGCATCCATAACAATTAAATGTATCATGTCAAGATACAAGGGACTGTAATACCAAATAACATCATTAGTGTTCATCATCATCACTTTATATGAAGGCATCATAACTTTGTATCAACATTGTAATTGGTAATTGCTTTCACTTCAACAATACTTTATAAATTGACACATTCTACTGACAACCATGCTCCCAACTTTTAAAGAATGTATTTGATCCCAGCACATAGTATGTCACATATATCAGTGTCCAACATCAAGGTAATTTAATCAGTGCAATTGATAATTGTTATTCTTTGCACTAAGAATTACTTGTATAATTCATGCACACTCAAAGTGTGAATTAATTGTTGCAAATGATTATATTTCCAGTTGCATTCAGAAATAAAAAAAATCAAAGAAAGCTTAGAAAGAACTCTCGTGTGCTGAGAGTATTGGAGACACATTAAAAATTACCTAATTCAAAATTACTTGAACTTGAGATGTTGATGGAAACGCAGAAAATTAATTATGCAAATAGGGTACAAACAGATTGAAGTGTAAACTA